AATCTACTCCAAGTGTTAACGGATCAACTACTGAGCTATAGCAAATGAATGCTACAACCCTTTCCAACACTTTATGGGCAAACCCTCAAGAAAACAAAGTACCAACTTAAGCTTAGCATAATGGACCACCATTGAGAATCCAGTCAAAGCTACTATAATGCTACTTCGTGCAAGTAGACTAGCTTCTCCATCAACCACTTTGGGGTTGATCATCGTTTAACTAAGCAACTTCGTAAACACATTGCTCATTATCACATGGATATGATATAGAAATCACAATGACTTGATCATCAATTGAGCAACACCACGGGCAATGCCAATGTCACTACTACAAAGGTTTATGTGAGTATCAAGTGCCAACTCAATTTGACAAAATGCAACATAAATGCCACACTCCACCGATAGAGACTTACAACACTGAACACCACTAACTTTTGTTCACAACATGAACAAGCTCATGCCACTCTCTTTCTGACCAAACTCAACACTAATCCAACACCAAGTTACTCTAGGAGCAATAGCAAGGTTCCCCAGAAAAGAATTGAGCATTGTAACCCAAGTCTTCCAATAGCAAGTCTAGACAAAATGGTTTAGTGCTTCACCGCTATCCATCCCACAACTCACCATTTGTAAGACCATCATCTCCAAAATGCATCAAGGTAGGGAATCTTGATTGCATGATGTGAACACAAGCAATGAGTTAACACCTCGTTGCAAATCATCTCTCCAAGAAGAGAAGATGATTTACGTGTTTGATCCTTCGTCCCCAACGACTCTCTTTTCGGTCTCATCTTTGACCAAACCTCAAGCTTGCGTTCGCACTGCCTTCAGTCCAATCCAAGAAAAGTTTATGAGAGAGCACAGCAATGATTACTTGAATCAATAGACTAATCCCTACAGTCTTGATTAATCCACTTGTAACCATGCCTAAGAAGGATCCATTAGTGCTGTTCTAAACAGCTACGGACTAATCTATTTGCCACTCATAGAAAACCCAGGGAAAGGTTTTGCTTTAACCCATGGTACATGGAACAACTCATGGAACCACCGATAGGCTAACATTAATCCTGCCAACTCAAAGTGCAACCTTGAGTTGCTAATGTGCCTCACTCACGAGTCCAAGCGTAAACTCGTGTTAACGGAGCATCTCTATCCATCCTATGAGCCCAAGAGCAAGCTCACATCATAAGGTACAACAAGGTAACAAAATCCATACCCAAGTAACGATTGCGAAGTCTTAGCACCCAAACGTGTACCCACTCGGATCATCGTTTTCATCTCTGCGTATGCAACGAGACTAGTTGCCCAATCTCATTGTATAGTACTCGCTGAGACTCTTCCTCTGATACCAAATGTAGCGCACGTGGTTTTGACCCTTTATCCTATGGTGATTTACCATAGGATAACACCACGAAGCGGAACCTAAACCCTCTTTGTGCCACGTGACAGATGCCACGTGTCACATGCCACGTGTCCATGCCACGTGTCCATAAGAACCCGAGGTTCAGGGCCTTGGGCCACTGAACAAAGGAACGGTGCCAAACTCCCAAGCATGGAGCCAAGGAGTGTCGGAACCAAACCACGGAGCAACTCCCGAGCATAAAGCCCAAGGAGCGAAGGGACAGGAGCCCGGAGCGACTTGGAACAGTCCTAGAGTAACCAGCATCCCAATGCTAGGACTAGCATGCAAAACGGAGCCAAACGGAGTCTGGCGCTATTTCGGCATACCGGTGGCCTAACGCGAGGACATGGGTACTCCACCAACTAGCATGGAATGGAGTTTGGGCTTAGACCCAAGCCGGACGCAGAACAAAGACAGGCACGCAAGTGGGAGCTAGACTATGCCTCAGGTTGGTCGGCCATGCCCGACCTACCCACTATCCCTACTATACTTTTGGAACCCCCCACAGCCCCCCCCCCCTTGAGGAACACACGCTTTGGGCTTTCACCCCAAGCCTCCCTTAGTATCAGGAGTTAGTCTCTGGGACAAGCTCGAAACTTACTAAATATGGAATGTCCTTAGATTGCGAATTTGGACACGGGACGAACACCATTGTGTTCAGGACAATCTCTACATTCCGTAGATATGCCAAATGAGCAAAATCTGGACACTTTCCATAAATAGCATTTAGGACCGAAATGAGACTAACACAAAGGGCATGATAGCGAGGGTGTTTGGCAGACACGGTAAGCTATCATCTAGCGATATTGAGGGACCAATCTCAATATCGCGGGGGTTCTTGATACTAGCAAGTGCAAGCCAATGACAGGAGTTTCTCAAACCAGGCCGAGTATGCTCAGCAAGAAACACATAGGGTTCCTACCTTATGTTTATCCGATCTAAGTACACGGTCATTGACCAGTTTCTCAACTAGCTCAAGTGGGAAACTGATAACAGGTCCAGCAATACCGACCTCCTACCATCGTGGCAGTAAGGTAAGAGTGTCCGTAAGGACTAGTCGACAAGTAACTTTCGATACCCGAAGTCACATTCGCGACAATTCACCTTCTTGATGTCATTTTCAACTTTTAATTTGGCTCTTGTTTAAAATAATGTCATCAATAGTCTCTTCATCCTCATCATGAACCATTCTCTTCATTAGGATCAGCATCCCCCCCTCTTCCCCAAAAAGAACAATTCCAATGAAATCAACAAGCCTTAAATTCCTAAACCATGAAATATTTTTAGAATAGTTTTATGGTTTTTATTTTAGATTTAGTAATTTAATTAAGGATTTCTAAGTGGTTTAACAAAGGTTCTTTATGCTTCATTTGTGAAGAAGTTTAAAAAAGTTGATCTTGTGAACTAGTTATTAAAGATGAAAGGGATTTTGTCTTTGAATGTGTATGTTCGTAAATTCTGCAATCATTACTTTAATTTCACAAATGCTTGCTAAAAATGCAATGCTTTATTAATGGTTTGAGTTTGGTGGATGTGTAGCAAAAAGTCAAAAAAGATTTTCTAGCAAAATTGATTGATGCCATCACTGAAGCAACTTAGTCAACTATGGTCAATAGAATGGTTAATTGGGTAGATAATATGATAACCAATTACCCAATGCTTCATATTTAGGTAAGAAATGATTATTATTGTATCAAATCTCATAGAATGAAGATAACAATAACGTTAAAAACCTTTGTTCAGACCAACAAGGTGGAGGGCAAATGTTTTAATTTTTACAAAGCTAGATATTATGGAAAAGGTTGTTTTTTTGTGAAGGATTAAGGGATGTTAATGTGGATAAAGTGAAATTTATTATGGATACAGCTCAAGAGTATTTTATAGTGGCTTTTTCATATTTTGTGATAAAGGTTCAAGAATTTTATGTTTTTTTTAAAGTTTAATGGTTTTATGCACAATAAACTTATGAAAACCAAAGAGGATATTTAGACAAACCAAGTTTCTTCACCACTCTAAACTTTAAAGATTGTGTGGCATGTGGATAAAAGAGTAACTTATGGAACGATAAAACCACTTGATTTTTTTGAAACCATATCTTATTTTTCAAAGAAGAGAAAATGATGATATTTCATCTTTAATAACTTTATTTTTGGACTCAAGTTGACTAAACATTAAACTTGTTGTTTTTGTTTGCTTATGGGATGGTAGTGGATATACTTAGAATATGCTTCAATATTCTAGGATATTCTACCATTGTTATCCATTAAGATTAATCTTGTATTGTTTGATGGGACCAGAAGTCATGAACAGTAATGGTCATCTATTGCAAAGCAAATTCTTATTGGCACTGAAGTTTGTATTGGACAACGCCTTCACAAAATGTAAGTATACCATTTCTTTGATCGAAGGAGGGAAGTACCATGTAAACTTTTGCAAAGGCATAAAACTGTTATGGTAATCTATAAACATGTTTATAATTTTAAACTTTCTTAAACACTTTCTAGTATATTCTTTTTATTCTAAATGGTTGATATTCAATAAGATTAATCTTCTGTTTATAAACTATAAATGTGCTTATAATTATAAACTTTATTAGATCAATTGGATTAATAAGTAAGAATAAGCAAACCAAGCATTGCTATATGCAACACATAGCAAATTATTAATCTAATTTAAGAAGATTTTATGAGAGAATACAATAATGACTATATGAACTTTGATCCAGTTATAATCATACATAGTAAAGATCCACTAGTGTCATACTAAAAAGTTATGAACCAACTCATTTGCCACTTATAGCAAGCCTAAAGGAATTTTATTTTTACCTATGACACTATAGTAATAACTCATCCAATAAATTAACATTAATCTTGTCAACTCATTAAATTGCTAATGTAATTAATACATCTCAATAAGTATAAGCAAAACTTTATACAATATGGTAGATGACTTCCTAAAAAGTCCAAATTCAAAAATTTGTATTTGGGGTCATATGTTTAAATTGATATTTGGCTTGTCATAAGATTTAACCAAGAGAGGATACCCAATTTTAAGCAAGTACTATCGAGTGAGTTTGGGCAATATATTTTGTAACTCAGTAGTATTTAAACTCAAAAATGCATAGCCTTAAAAAGTTAAGTCCCATGACACTGCAAACATTCGAAAACTAGCTTGAGAAAAGAAAGCAAAACGCATAAATCTCCTTATATTAAAATGTTAATGAATCATTTTTCAAATTGTTCTTTTTAATTACTAACAACTAACTTCTTGTATTCTTTTTATATAAATAAACAAATGAGATAACATTTCAATAGACTTTATTATTAGTTTGCACAAAATATTTTAAGGAAATAATGCTATCTAGATTGTTATGGATTAGTTAACAGCTTCTCAATGAAAATGAAGATGACAATTTAACCTTTTATACTTTATACTTTTATACTTGTTTGTACTGATTATGGTGAGCCTGGGAGTGATTAGGATCTGCAAATAGAAAGTTCACTGTAAACCTATTTCACAAATACCTTGGCAAAAATTACACAACATGCTTGGCAGCAGTCATGCCATTCCCATCACAATCTCTTTGCGTGAAGGCTGAATGCGTTCAGCCCTGAAATTGAACGTTCCATGCTTGATCTGGGAGTGGGACGTATGTGAGATTTTGGGATGAAATCATTGCAATGATCTGATATTCTCTCACAGTAGAATTAGTGCTCGATATGGATAATCACCCACCAGAACTGGCAACATTTTCCAAAGAACATGAGATAATCTTCATATATAGCATACCTTCATCTTAGTTGTTCTTATCCATTGTTCATGAATGGTCCTAGTACCAAAATCCATGCGTTTCCACTGCCTACAACTCTTTGTAGTTTGCAAATGGCGTGAACACACAGTTCAATTATGATTCATGGGTATTTAACCACATAGGAAATGGATCTTCTAACCATCTCAGGCTAAACGACACTTGAGGGTTTTAGAGCACGATATCGGAGCGCTGCTGCTCGCCTTGCTTGCTAATGACGCTTCAGGTCAGTTTGTTAGTGAGTTTAACTCTCTTGCTTGTTCTGGGTTTACTGTCAAGACCTTGTTTGATCTCGACAAGCACTCGGTAAATGCCTTTGGCTTGTATATGGACCTGCGGAACAAGTTTGTGTTGGCGCTCGATTCTAGTGGCAATCGTATATGGAAGCTGAGACTGCCACTCTCGCACGCTACTGACGATCCTCATACCCTTGGGGAGCGTCTGGAAGAGGCGCCACTCGCTGCACGGGGAATTCTCGACTGGAGTAAGCACTAGAGGCTTTTCTTATGCTTTGTTTTGTGGCGCCAAAGCTTAAGATTTTTTTTTCCTCTAGATAGCAGCTTGGAAGCTCTTGCCGGTTCACTTGTGGGGCAGTCCGGCTATGTCGACGGCCCCGCGGCAAAGTCACTTTTTAATCGCCCACAAAGCCTTGCTATTTGTGACAATGGCACGGTCCTTGGGTGGATACGAGGAACTTGGCTATACGCAAAATCAGCAAGGATGGCGAAGGTATTTTCGTTTTCTCTTTTAAAATTCTCTAGAACATTTTTTCTGTTTCCAACAGTGACCACCATTGCCGGAGGTAGATTACATTTTATCTTTCAAAAAAGAGAAAATGAAGGAATTTAGGGCTTGTTGATTTCATTGGAATTGTTCTTTTTAGGGGGGGGATGCTGATCCTAATGAAGAGTATGGGTCATGATGAGGATGAAGAGACTATTGATGACATTATTTTAAACAAGAGCCAAATTAAAAGTTCAAAATGACATTAAGGAGGTGAATAGACTCAATGTATAGCTTGACTTTGGATGTAGAATTTCTAAGAACACACATATAAAAAAAAACCAATCTATCTACAATCATCTATATTCCAAAACTAGAGCTAGAGAAAAAAGCCAGTTTGCCTCCTTGTTCTTATCTATACTAAATCTCTCACACTTCAATATAGCAGTGCCCCTCAAATCAATGTCCCCCATCTAAAGGAAACTACCAATCATCTCATATCCAGGCTGCCCCAAAAATCCTTCATGTGGAGCTTGTGGACTCTTCCCTCTTTGCACAAAAGCACCAGCTAAGCCTGAGTGTTTGGTTGCCAGCTTGCTTGTAGAGCTTGAGAGCAAAGGTGGACATTTTGAGACATATTCTCAATATATCCCACGAAACAATGTTTTTCTGCAATTCCAGCATCTCATTACATCCAATAGAAGAGCTCAAAGTGCATGTCCCATGATGATTATATTCCATACAACCAACGTTGTGGTTCTTCATCCTCCCAAATACTTCTAATGCTTCCACATGTCCATGAGGCTGCTCATGACAAATACATCAGCTTCATATCCACAATTTGCACCCATCCTGCATGAATCTTCCATGCTCCCACACCTTGCATACAGATCCACTAGACTCCTTGCCACGAACATGTCAAGATCATAGCCCGCCTTGCAAGCTGCCGAATGAAGAGCCATTCCTTTCTCGGCTTTGTCATTTTCTTTAGCTGCTCCCAAGTACTGCGAAAACTTGCTGAGCATGCCACACTTGGGAGTAGAGTCCAAGAGGTTTAGAATGTGGAATCTTTTGTCTACGTATAAAACTTCTTAAAGTTAATACATTGTTGCAGTCCAGAACTAAGCTTACCTCTTTTGCTCATAAAAAATCCAGTTTCCATCCTGGAATCAGCTGGCATGCTTCTCAAGTTGACAGCCTTGCTACTACATGCTGGAAAAAGAGATCAAGTGCCAAGCTACCTTTAGATCTATGAGTGGAGATGAAATATTGCAGGTCTACATGCAAATTCTTGCCAATACAAATTGTTGCTCCTGAACTCACAATGATAGTCAGCCTCTTGCTGTACCCACACAATGACTCCTCTTTTTCTTTGTCAGGAATGTTCCATGCAATGGCCCCTACGTCTGAAACCTACCCCTGATCCTTGAGAGCAGCCTTGAGAAGCCATCTTGTCCCTATGTGCGTGAGTTTTATCCCATAAGTACAAACTTATGAATGATTCCACGTTTGTCAGTGTCCAAGCTTCTTCTGAACTTTGCCTACAGTTCCATATGCACGTAGGCTGCAGCTTGCTTCTTGTCTGGCTATAACATTCTTCCACTTCCCAAGTGATCATGGTCGGCTTGAAACAGAGCGAAATGCCAAACCAACACTCCTTTTTTTCTTATAATTTTTATAACCATTTTGGTATCCACTACATACTATTTAAATTATAGCCTTTCCATTCTCCAATTATATTTAAGTTATAGCCTCTCCATTATTTTTTCTCTTTCTCACTCTAAAAAAATAATTAGCTAATAAAAGATACCTGAAATCAACTCTTTTTTCAATAAATAAAAGTCGAAATAAATCTTAAAGCATAAAATATAATCCACAAAGGCATCGTTTTCGCCATCTCAACAGCCTCACCACCATACAGTGAAAGTGCTCCAGATCTGGAGTTACCTACGATCAGCTCATTGCCTGGGTTGCTGTGTCGATCAAGCCAGCATCGCTACACTCAGTGAGGATGAATTGAAAGCAATCCCATCCGGTTTTAAGACTTCCAGAACAAAGCCGCAAGTGACCATAACTCAGCAGTTCTTCACAGTACTACATGCTCAGCACCAGTGATACTCTCGCTTTGAGTTGGCCACGGACGCAATGACTTCGTCTCTATATCTGGAGATAGTCAAGTGAATTACCTTCCCAATTGCCACAGCTGCCCAAACCTTCAGTTCTGCTACGAAAGTTTATCAGCATCCGTTGAAACAGCTCGTCCGGTTCGTTGTGCTGAGCATAGCCGGCAATCAAGATAGTCCACGATGTTGCTTCCGGGGTATTCGTTTAAAAACTTGACGAGGCTTCGACACCTTGCATAGAGATTGTCGCGACGAATATAACCTTTGCAGATCGACGAAGCTCTCTGTGTCTTCTTCACTCCAAACACTGGAACAGGTCTTCCAATGCAGTATCAACCGTTTGAGCGTCCAGATCACAGCCTCGGTACTTCATGAGAGCAAGGCATCGTCCGTTGGCGCCGTTTAGAGCGAAGCCAGAGTGCATTCTAGACCACACTAATCCCGCCGCTTAAACCTCTCGAGCACTCGCTATGCTGGTAGCACCGTACTTTCACAAGCTCATAGTCAGAGAATCGTCTTCCTCCTGTGCGTTTAGCACTTTAATCCTCCACTCGGGCTCTTTCTTCTCAGTCAGAGAATCGTCCACCACAACTGCCAGAGGATTCGTCACTTCGATCCGCCACAGAGGGTCCTGAAAGATCGCATTCCTGCGCTGTTTCCTTCGAGATAACATCCATCGCACTAGCAAAACGCACGCAAGCAGCACCAAGATCGCAACCAAAACCCAGAGAAGAAGCTGGAGCAGCGACCAGGGCGTCCTCCGAGCCACTGTAACCACTGCCGCGGGTGTTGGTGTGGCCATCGCTGCGTTGTGACCGTCGCGACGGTGGTGGTGGTGGTGGTGGTGGTGGCGGCCTCCATGATGGTGACCATGGTGATGGTGGTGGCCTCCGTGATGGTGACCATGGTGATGGTGGTGAACAACCAGAGGAGCTCCATCACCGTGATGATGATGGTACACCGCTGCTGCTGGAGCTGGATCGTGGTGGCGAGCATGATCAAGGAGAGCAGGCGCTGGAGCTCGATCACCAGGGTGGTGGCCACGAGCATGAACGAAAGCAGCTGGCGCTGGAGCTGGAGCTGGAACTGGGGCGCCACCTTGAAGAACTGGAGCTAAAGCTGGCGCTGGCTCGTGGCCTCCATGAGATGCTCGAGGACGGTGGTGTCCATGTGCTGCTCGATGCGTTGGAGCTGGAGGGTGTGAAGCTCGGTGATGGCCGCCATGCCAGGGCGCTTGAGCTCGGCGGCCAAGCGTTGGAGGCCCATGATCGCGAGAGACCATAGCTTCTTGATGGAGAGAAGCATCCATACCTGACGAAACCTCGCGTTCCGACATCTCGAATAGAAAAATCCAAGCGAGAAAATATAACCTAACCCTTGACTTGGAAAAAAATAGTAATACTTTTGCCTTTGTGAAAAAAGAGAATGGTTTTTACGCTGTGGATTGCGCGGCGCCCAAAGTCATCGTCGTCATGGAAGCGTCCCGGTACTGCTGGTACTCGGTCACCAGATCGTTGAGATTGCTCTCCGCCTCAGAGAACTCGAGCTCGTCCATCTCCTCGGCCCGCCGGAACATGAGCGTCAACTTATCTGTAAAACAATTGGAAAAACAAATTTTGTGTGAGCACATTCTTAGCTGTGCTTGAGCTTGTCCTTGAATTCCTGCTGGAACTTCTCCAAATACTCAAGCTCCATAGTCAAATTCCTCGAATCCGGAAAAGGAAGAGGATGAGAAGGAGCAACAGAAGCGTCCAAGTTGGGAGAGTTTTCCATGAAATCAATGAGCTCTGGAAGCTCATCTAAAATAATGTCATCAATAGTCTCTTCATCTTCATCATGACCCATACTCTTCATTAGGATCAGCATCCCCCCCTCTCCCGCAAAAAGAACAATTCCAATGAAATCAACAAGCCCTAAATTCCTTCATTTTCTCTTTTTTGAAAGATAAAATGTAATCTACCTCCGGCAATGGTGGTCACTGTTGGAAACAGAAAAAATGTTCTAAAGAATTTTAAAAGAGAAAACGAAAATACCTTCGCCATCCTTGCTGATTTTGCGTATAGCCAAGTTCCTCGTATCCACCCAAGGACCGCGCCATTGTCACAAATAGCAAGGCTTTGTGGGCGATTAAAAAGTGACTTTGCCGCAGGGCCGTCGACATAGCCGGACTCCCCCACGAGTGAACCGGCAAGAGCTTCCAAGCTGCTATCTAGAGGAAAAAAAATCTTAAGCTTTGGCGCCACAAAACAAAGCATAAGAAAAGCCTCTTGTGCTTACTCCAGTCGAGAATTCCCCGTGCGGCGAGTGGCGCCTCTTCCAGACGCTCCCCAAGGGTATGAGGATCGTCAGTAGCGTGCGAGAGTGGCAGTCTCAGCTTCCATATACGATTGCCACTAGAATCGAGCGCCAACACAAACTTGTTCCGCAGGTCCATATACAAGCCAAAGGCATTTACCAAGTGCTTGTCGAGATCAAACAAGGTCTTGACAGTAAACCCAGAACAAGCAAGAGAGTTAAACTCACTAACAAACTGAGCTGAAGCGTCATTATCGTGCTCTAAAACCCTCAAGTGTCGTTTAGCCTGAGATGGTTAGAAGATCCATTTCCTATGCGGTTAAATACCCATGAATCACAATTGAACTGTGTGTTCACGCCATTCGCAAGCTACAAAGAGTTATCATCAAGCAAGGCAGTGGAAAACATGGATTTTGGTACTAGGACCATTCATGAACAATGGATAAGAACAACTAAGATCCATCGAGAAAGGTATGCTATATAAGCTTTAGGATTATCTCTTGTTCTTTGGAAAATGTTGCCAGTTTGATTATCCATATCGAGCACTAATTCTACTGTGAGAGAATGTCAGATCATTGCAATGATTTCATCCCAAAATATCACATACGTCCCACTCCCAGATCAAGCATGGAACGTTCAATTTCAGGGCGGAACACATTCAGCCTTCATGCTAAGAGATTGTGATGGGAATGGCACGACTGCTGCCAAGCATGTCGTGTAACACATTTGTGGCAAGCCCTATAATGTTTGTTATGGATTAGTTAATGAAGAGCTTCTCAACGAAGATGACAATTTAAACTTTTGATTAGGATCTGCAAATAGAAAGTTCACTGTAAACCTATTTCACAAAGACCTTGGCAAATATATATCTAGATAGCATTATTTCCTTAAAATATTTTGTGCAAACTAGTGATAAAGTCTATTGAAATGTTATCCCATTTGTTTATTTATATATAAATGATAAAAAAATTTAGTTGTAAGTAATTAAAAAGAACAATATCTAAAATTTAAGGTTTCAATATATAGAGATTTAGAATATTAAGATATTTAGGGCTAAGCATTTTTTAGTTTAAATACTACAAAGTTCACTCAATATTACTTGTTTCAAATTTGGTATCCTCTCTTGGTTAAGTCTCATGATATGCCAAATATCACTTTAAGCATATAATCCCCAAATGTAAACTTTTGAATTTGGATTTCTCAGGAAGTTAATTTACCGTATTGTATAAAGTTTTGCTTGTACTTATTAAAATGTACTAGACACATTAGCAATTTCATAAGTTGACAAAATTAATGTTAACTTATTGGATGAGTTATTACTATAGTATCATAAGTGAAAATAAATTTCCTATAAGCTTGCTATGGGTGGCAAATAAATTGGTTTATAATTGTTTAGTACGACACTAGTGGATCCTTACTATGTATGATTATAAGTGGATTGAGGTTCAAATGGTCATTATTGTATTCTTTCATAAAAAAAATTTAAATTAGATTAAAAACAGAAAATATAATGTTTAGTCAAGTTGAGTCCAAAAATAAAGTTATTAGGGATGAAATATCATCATTTTCTCTTCTTTAAAAGATAAGATGTGGTTTTAGAGAAACCAAGTGGTTTTATTGTTCCATAAATTACGTTTTAATCTAGATGCCACACAATCTTTTAAAGTTCAGGGTGGTAAAGGAACTTGGTTTGTCTAAATATCCTCTTTGGTTTTCAGAAGTTTATTGTGCATAAAACCATTAAGTTTTATAAAAGCTTGAGGTTCTTGAACTTTTATCACAAAATATAAAAATAAATACTCTTGAGATGTATCTATAATGAATTCCACTATATTCACCTTAACATCCCCTAACCCTTCACAAGAGAACAACTTTTTCTATAACATTCAGCTTTGTAAAAATTAAAACATTAACCCTCCACTTTATTGGTCCAAACAAAAGTTTTTAACTTTATTGTCATCTTCTGATACAATAATTGTTATTTCTTCCCTAAATGTAAAGCATTGGGTAATTGGTTATCATGTTGTTTACCTCATTAACCATCCTATTGACCATAGTTGACTGAGTTGGTTTAGTGATGGCATTAATCAATTTTGCTATAAAATCTTTTTTGACTTTTTGTTACACATCCACCAAACTCAAACCATTGATAAAACATTGCATCTTTAGCAAACATTTGTAAAATTAAAGTAATGATCACAAAACTTACGAAAATCCTTTGCATGATTTTTAATAACTAGTTCACAAAATCAACTTTTTCAAACTTCTTCACAAATGAAGCATAAAGAACCTTTGTTAAACCACTTAGAAATCCTTAATGAAATTACCAAATCTAAAATAAAAACCATAAAAATATTCTAAAAATATTCTAAAACTATTTCATGGTTTAGGGATTTAGGGCTTATTGATTTCATTGGAATTGGGACAAGGGGATGCTAATCCTAATGAAGCCATGATGAAGATGAAGAGACTGTTGATGATGTCATTATAAAACAAAAGCCAAATTAAAAGTTCAAAATGATATCAAGGAGGTGAATAAACTCAATGTATAACTTGACTTGGATGTAGAACTTGTAAAAACAAACATAACAAAAGAAACTAATCTATCTACAATCATCCATATTCCAAAACTAGAGCTAGGGCAAAAAGTCAGTTTGCCTTATCTGTACTAAATTTCTCGCACTTCAATATAGTTGTGCCCCTCAAATGACATTGTCCCCCATCTAAAGGAAACTACCAATCATCTCGTGTCTAGGCTGCCTCAAAAATCCTTCATGTGGAGCTTACCCTCTTTGTGCAAAAGTGCCAAGAAATTGGAAGCACCATTGAATCTGATTCTAGAGAGTCTTTTGCCATGGGCATGAATCAATTGCTCCAGGAGAAGAAGACAAAAGAACTCTCAAAGCAAAACTTGAGCGCCAAACACCACCTCTTTCCAGTGGCTTTCTTGTACACTTCCAATACCAATTGTATCAACAAAGTGGGCAGAATTGAATTCAAGGTAATCTTGAGGCATTGGCAGCACACTCCATTAGATTAAAGCCAAGCCATCATGGCTTAAGGAGAGGTAATAGTGGGAACAATGATATCACTATTATATCCCTTTGCATTTATTTCTTTTGGATGAGGATCAATTTTATGCAGAAGTGTGTCATTGTGACAGTGATGCACTTAAACTTCTCAATCAATAGCCATGTCTCCACACTTCCCATATAATTTGATGAGCAGTGGTAGATTCTTGTTTAGATTCCCTCAAAATGTCCACCTTTGCTGCTAAGCCTAAGCGTTTGGCTGTCAGCTTGCTTGTAAAGCTTGAGAGCAAAGGGCATTTTGAGGTATATTTTCAGTATATCCCATGAAACAATGTTTTTCTACTTCATGCAATTCCAGCATCTCATTACATCCGAGCTCAAGGTGCATGTCCCATGATGATCATATTCCATACAACCAACATTGTGGTTCTTCATCCTCCCAAATACTTCTAATGCTTCCACATGTCCATGAGGTTGCTCATGACAAATGCATTGGCTTCATATCCACACCTCACACCCATCCTGCATAAATCTTCCATGCTCTCACCCCTTGTGTACAGATCCACCAGATTCCTTGCCACAAACATGTCAAGATCATAGCGTGCCTTGCAAGCTGCCAAATGAAGAGCCATTCCTTTTTTGGCTTCATCATTTCCTTCAACTGCTCCCAAGTACTGCGAAAACTTGCTGAGCATGCCACACTTGGGAGTAGAGTCCAAGAGGCTGTTTAGGATGTGGAATCTATTGCCTGCGTATAAAACTTTTTAAAGTTAATACACTGTTGCAGTCTAGAACTAAGATTACCTCTTTTTCTCATCAAAAATCCAGTTTCCATCCTGGAATCAGCTGGCACGCTTCTCAAGTTGACAGCCTTGCTACTACGTGCTGGAAAAAGAGATCAAGTGCCAAGCAACCTTTGCAGCTATGAGTGGAGATGAAACATTGCAGATCTACATGACAAATCGTTGCTCCTGAATTCACGATGATAGCCAGCCTCCTGCTGTACCCACAAAACGACTTCTCTATTTCTTCATTGTGAATGTCCCATGCAATGGCTCCTACTTCTGAAACGTACCCCTGATCCTTGAGAGCAGCCTTGAGAAGCCATCTTGTCCCTATATGCATGAGTTTTGTCCCAAGAACTTATGAATGATGCCATGTTTGTCAATGTTTGAGCTTCTTCTGAACTTTGTCTCCATATGCACATAGGCTGCAGCTTGCTTCTTGTCTGGCTATAACATTCTTCCACTTCCCAAGTGATCATGTTTGGCTTGAAACAGAGCGAAATGCCAAAGCAACACTCCTTTATTTCTTATAATTTTTATAACCATTTTGGTATCCCATCTTCACTATGCCATACTATTTTAATTATAGCCTTTCCATTAATTTTTCTTTCTCCTCCAATTAAACTTCTAGTGTATAAAAAGGAAAATTATTATGAGTTTGGGGCAAAATATTGGGGGAGATGATGTTCCAGACTTGGATGAATTCCTAAAGAAGTATGATCCTCATCACTGCAAGTCCTCAAAAGCTGGTGGAACAAAAGACTGTTGTGAGTATATTCTCAGAAATGGTTGTAAGGATTTTTCTTGGCATTACTCAATAATGGATTGGTTTTGGGAACCAAGAAAGTATTGACAAAACTGAATTTTGAACTTTCTAGAGGATGCGAAAATCTTGGGTTATGCTGATTATTTTATGCATTAAATTTTATTTCTACTTTTATTTATTAAAAAGGAAGAATAATTTTTGAAGGAGAT